CACACACACACACACACACACACACACACACACACACACACACATATATGTGGCTATGTCTACTGCAATACCACACAACCCCCAAATATTAGTGGCTTTTAACAGCAAACATCTATTTCTCACTCAGCTACATGGGTCAGCTGTAGGCTCCGCTCAACATCTCCTTTCAGGGATCCAGGTTAATGGAGCCTCCATCATTTGCAGAAACACTGGCTGCTATAGCAAGGGAAAGGGAACATAGCTCGTCATGCCATCGCTTTAAGGCATCTTCCTGGAAGTGACACACTTCTGCTCACATTCCACTGGCCTTAGTCCATCCCATGAGCCAGCCCAGCTCATGCAGGTAAACCGTGGCCATGCAGCATGCCAGGAAGGCCGTCAGGGTGCCAGTGAGCAATCCTCTTGATGACCATTAATGAGCCATGTCAGAAGTGCCAAAAATGATCAGAAGGGAAAGAAAGAGCAGCTTCTGGGTAAGAAGTTTAGGGAGGGTGGGCATGGGTTTGGAATCAGACTCTTCCCTTTTCCTCTGGGTTTTATTTCTTCTCTGTAGCTCCTCAAAGCCAATGGCAACTTCTTCCTCCAGGCAGTGCTGCTCCCTGGCAGAGTTTTCATGATTCTTGAGAACAAAGGCCCTGGGTGAAAATGAGGATGGAATTTGGAGCTAGAAGATGAGAAGGTGGATATAGAAATAATATCCTCCCATAGTATAAAATGTGGAGGAACAAAGCAGTCATCACAAAAATGCTTCTGGCTAAGCTTCACTTGAAGTATACTTCCCCCTATACCACCTGCTACTGAACTCCAGGAAAACAGAACCCCTAGAGGGCACATACTTGCTGGGAAAATACTTAGGCTTGCCAGAATTTTTAAAGGGACTGGTCTGGCTCCCTGGGCCAGCCTGACCTGGGCTTTCTGGCTTTCCTGGTCCCTTGGGACTGAGTATAGGGGAAGCTGAAGCCACCTGTGCTCATTGCTTCCCAGATGCCTTGAGAAAAGAGTCCTTATTCTCTGACTTTGAAGTTGGTAATGGCTTTTCTCTGCCACTTCTAAAAGATATCACTTCAGGGTTCTTTAATGAAAATACACACTCACCACATTACCTTCCAGGGCTTGAGGGCAAGCCAACACCTAAGTGATAATTCTAGATGTCACTTAGGGTGTGAGTGACATCTAGAATTATCATCACATCCAATCACAGGAAATAATGTTGGGATGATTTGTAAACTCTGCCTTCAGCTTACAAAATGTGTTTTCAGTGAGCCCAGCTCATCATAGATTTTGGTTTTGTTGAGACTGTGTGGCATTGAGAGGGTCAAGGTTACTCAGGACTTAATTTCAAGTCTGGTTCAGAATATTCCCCACACTGTGCTGAATCCCAGAGGGTTCCCTGGGTTAGAGTGGGGATTCTCTTTGATGCCCGTAACTCTTCTTTCTCTTTGATTCTCTTCAGGAACTTGAGCGCCTTAACCAGGTGCTGGAGGCTGAGAAGCAACAGTTTGAGGAGGTGGTGCAGGAACTGAGAATGGAGCAGGAGCAGATCAAGAGGTGGTGGTGGTGCCGGGGAGGGGAGTGGGAGGAAGGCACACCTGGGTTAGGGCACCTGGAACCCACATTCCCGATCAGGCCTGGACAGGCCTTTGCCCAGGAGATTGTCACTACTTGGTGACTTGGTTCGGTCTATCTTTCCAATGCTCCAGGCCTTGGGGTGGCCCAGTAAAAGCTATAGACCCCATTTACATGGACCACTTCTGCTCACTGGGGCATGAAGCATGGGCAGGTACTGACAAGCACCTCCTCACTCCCATCAACAATCTCCGTCAATCATTCCTTACCCAGGGCAGATAGGACGAAGCTGGTCTGGAGGTGCCATTAACTAAGATTCCTAACATTCCCTGTCTTTCCTACACAGCCCCTTCACATTCTGGCTAATGATGTTCCTTGTGATCTTTAGTCCGGTGTATGGTTTGCAAACCAGTTGCACATTATAATCATTTAGCAGAATTAGAACCTCTTGAAGATAGAGCCCAGCGATCTATATTTTAAAAAAACTCCTCAGGTCATTCTGATGTAGCTTATCCAAAAATTCGGAGACTCCTACTCTGGGTACTGTTGGTGGTATGGTCATTGTCATTATCATTATCATCGTTATCATCATCACTATTGATCATCAGTGATTTTTCTTGAAACAACCTTATAAAGAAAGTCAATAGACATGTATTTTGGGGAGGGAGTAGTTCAGAGGATCTTACCAAGTAAATAGCCAAGCACGTGCTCATCTCCAAAATTATGCCAGACACTGGAATGGAAAATAAGTCCTCTCCCTTGAGGATCTGGGTGAAAAAACCACACTCGCACCTAGGAAACATCAACACAAGAATACGTAACCAGGTGCTAGGAGGCATGGGGCACACTCCCTGTGCTATAAGAATTAAGATATATGCTTGGTTCCTATGGGCTTGAACAGAGGTTAGATGCACTGGGCCTTGAAGGATAGGTAGGATTTGGCAATTTGGGGCAGGAGAAAGGACAGGCATTCCAAGCAGGAAGAGGTGAAGCCAGATGTAAAGACCTGAGGTGGCCCAGGCTTGTTAAAAAAAACAGCAAGGAGTTTGTCATCTGAGAAGGGCCTCAGCCATTTCCCATGTCACAATGAGTGGATTCTAACAGGGGCCATCCAGGGAAGATGGGGTGAGGCCAGAACCCCTTTGTACTCCCAGTGTTTCTCTGCCTGTGGAATGGTTCTGGGTTTATCCAGACTGACAGATGCATGAGTACCTGGAGTAAGTGACTTCAACCCTACCTGGCTGGGATCTCCTTTTAGCCCTGGGCCCCTGTGGCTGCCATCAAGACCCAGCCATGCAGAGGAGCTGGCCTTCCAAGGACCTCTCTGAGCCTTATCAGGAAGTAAAGCAGGAGCGAGTCTGTGTACAAAGGGAACTGGGAGAGGCGGCACTTCAATACCCATCCATACCTCTGTCTCTGCAGGGAGCTAGAACTGACTGCAAGATGCCTCAAAGGCGTGGAGCAAGAGAAAAAGGAGCTGAGACATCTCACAGAGTCCTTGCAGCAGACACTGGAGGTGAGGGGACACTGGTGGGCTGGTTGACCAAGAGACAGGCTGGTTAGTTTGGCCACATGATACTGTTTTTTCCAATGGTATTTCCACAGAGGGTCATCTGCAAGAGCAATGGGCACTAAGAAGCACTGATTTAAGGGTCTCTTCTCTGGACCATTGGGAACTCAGCTGACACATGAGGCCCAAAGCAAGATCCAGAAGGGCAAATTCGAATTTGCCCTTGCTATGATCATGGCCTCAGGAAATCTACCTTCTTTAGTGCTTATATTTTTATATCAGATTTTATCTCAATTTATATCTCATTCACTTAGTTGCTACAGGGTGAAATTGAGCACGAAGGAAAATCAACTGCCAGGTCACCTCTATTTGATACCACAGAAACTATGATGGGGAGGAGGAGGTGGCATGTGTCACGGACAAAGTGCCAACTCTTCAGGATGGCATGCAAATGCAAACTCTGGCCCCAGCCTCTCCTCCCCTGCTGCCCACTCTCCCTCTGTCTCTCTTCTGTACCCCACCTGCACAAAGACACCCCAGCCCCTACTCCAAATGACTGAGCTCATGTATCCTGAGAAAGCCAAGTGTTTTCATTCTTTATACCTTGTCCCATACTGTTCCTTCTACACATAATGCCCTTTCGCCTCTTCTTTGCCTTGAGAACTCTTTTATCTTTCTAAGAGTCAGCTCAGACATCACCTCAGCCAAGCTTCCCTGACTATTTGAGGCAGGAATTTGCTCTGAGCTCTGGGTTCCCATGGCACTTTGTACGTCTGTTATGACACTAGGTTGTGTTTTCCAAACTGTGAACTTCACTAGACTATGTCTTAAAGCATCTCCAATCCCAGCACCTAAAGTGAGCCTGAAATATTTTGGGGATCATAATGTTTACTGAATTCATGAACTGCCTGGCACACTGTGAGGGTTTCTATTCTCCTTTGACTGAGGTTTGTTGTGGTGCCATTATTTGTTTATATTTCTCCATTTCCCATCATGGGAGGTGGTTCCCATGGATAGTTTCAATTCTGGAATTTCTGGGTAGTGCGAGATCCTGATCTTATAAATGGGGAGAATGTGAATCTGCTCTTGGGCTGGTCTTGTTGGGTGTTTTTCATGTGAGCCAAACAGAGTTTCTCACTTGCCCCTGGAGGAACAAGGACCAGAGAAGGTCATGGTGCCCTTGGGTCTTGGGCTTCAGTTGTAGTAGGTACCGTCTCCACTGGAAGCCACATTGGGCTCCTCCTTGACACCCTTGATGGAAGGATAACCTTGACTTGTTGTGATGAAGGAGATTTTGGTTGGCCTTTTACCTCAAGGGCGGAATGAAGACATTTCAGGTGTCCCTCATAGAAGACTGAGGGAGGAGGGCATCACTCCCTGGAATTGGAGGGCCGGTGAGGGCAGTCGTGGTGGAGAACTAAATTTGGCTTTTTCTCTTCTCTCTCTTCTTTCCCTCCCTCCATGCCAGGAACTCTCCATAGAGAAGAAGAAAACCTTGGAAATGCTGGAGGAGAATGAGAACCAACTACAGACACTGGCCAATCAGAGTGAGCAGCCCCCTCCCAGCGGGGGTCTCCATAGCAACCTAAGGCAGATTGAAGAGAAGATGCAGCAGCTCTTGGAGGAGAAGCTGCTGGCAGAGAAGCGGTGAGGAGCCTGGGATGCCTGAGTCCATGATTGGCTTTGGGGATTGGTAACTTACCTTGAAATGAATACCTGGACTCTTGGGTTCTAGTTGGCATTGACCAGATAGGTCACTCACTTTTTTTTTTTGCCTAGGACTCATTTTCCCCACAAAATGGGAAGGCAAATGTAAAGAGATCCTTTACTACCCAGAGCTGACTGGATCATCTCTTGCAATGGTGTGAATAGTACAGACAGTCGTTAGGTCCACGTATGCTTTGTGGCCAGCTGGGCAGGTCCTCTTAACCCCTTTTTACTGATGAGGAAACAGCCTTGAAGGAGCTATGGGGCTTTCTGAGGTCACAGAACCAGCAAGACCTGGACCCAGGACTCAGGTCTTGTGATTCTAAGGCTAGGGCTCCTGTCACTGACCACACCACCCCTCTCATCACCTGGATGACAAGACCCAGAAAGTTCTGGGGCTCCCAAAGCCTGGGTTTTTCCAGCCAGGTCTCTACGAGGGACTGTCCTCCCACTGGAAACCCCCTTAGGAGAGTGAGCTCTGACTGAGTGCCTCTTCCGCCTGGGCAGGATGAAGGAGAACGAGGAACGCTCGCGGGCCCTGGAGGAGGAGCGTGAGTTTTACTCGAGTCAGTCCCAGGCGCTGCAGAACTCGCTGCAGGAGCTGACGGCACAGAAGCAGCAGGCTGAGCAGGAGCTCAAGGTGCTTCCCCTCACCTGGAAACTTCCCTCACTTGCTTACACTTCATTAGGCAGCTACCTGAATTACCTCTGCCTATCTGACCAGCCAGGTGAAGGCAATAGAGCCACCCTGAGAGGAAGCAGTGGATCTGCCACTTCTATGGGGCATCATTGCTGGGTGCGGGGCCAAGTCCAGGCCATCTGGTAGAGGGCATAAGACGAGGCGAAGGTGGTAACTCCATGTCCAGAGGCGAGAAAGCCCACTTGAGCCCGAGGCAATCAGGGAAGGCTTCCAGAGTAGGTGGCAACTGCTTCCCAGGACCCCATTTCTCTCTCCTTTCCTCCTCCCGCAGGCTGAGGTGAAGGTCCGCATGGACCTGGAAAGGCGTCTGCGGGAAGCAGAAGGGGCCTTGCGGAGCCTGGAACAAGGGCTCAACTCCAAGATTCGGAACAAGGAGAAGGAGGAGAGGATGCGGGCTGACGTGAGCCATCTGAAAAGTAAGCCCTACCCTGTGGTGCCCGGCGCCGGGCCTCCTAGCCCTGGAGCTTAGCCCTCTCCAGAGTCCAGGCCCCGTGGGGCTCGGAACGGGGCCTAGAGCCCCACACAGGGTCAAGTATGTGTTAAACGTTCCTAGATATTGATGGAGTTTCTTCTCTAGACTCCTGCCTTACAGGCATCTCCCAGGTGCATCGTTTTGGCTGTTTGATTTGGGGAGGGGGCCTTGAGGGGAAAGCCTGCAGTTCTGCCCCCGCCAGCAGGTGGCTCTGGTCTCTCAAGGGATGGGGTCGACATGTTTCTCACTCAAGCCCACCAAAACCCTTGGGAGGGGTGGGGCGTGGTGGAGAAGGACGCAGTGGGTCTGCCGCCACCGCAGGGTTCTTCGAGGAATGCATCCGGAACGCGGAGCTGGAGGCCAAGATGCCGGTCATCATGAAGAACTCCGTGTACATCCACAAGGCGGCCACTCGCCGCATCAAGAGCTGCCGCTTCCACCGGCGCCGGTCCAGCACCTCCTGGAATGACAGTGAGTGTGGCCGTCTGCGTGCCTCACGGGGTGGGGATGGTCACAGGCTATCAGTGACAAGGCAGAAAGAGGGCAGAATGGGGAGTAGGAAGGGCTGGCCCAGCTCCGAGGTTGGTCAATGTGCCCTTGAACCTGTTCTGCCAGCCTTGGGCTTCTCCCAGGATTAGGGGAGCCTATGGATGGGAAGGGGCTGGGGGAAGCTCAACAACACAGGATGGTGAGTGAGAAAGGTGGGCTGGGGTCGGGGACAGGGCCAGCCTTGATGGAGGGAGGGCTGTTCATGGCCGTTGGGGCCACTGTCTCCCCAGTGAAGCCGTCCCAGTCCTTCATGACCTCCCAGCTGGAAGCCAACAACATGGAGGAGCTGAAGGAGGTGGCCAAGCGGCTGAGCCGAGACCAGCGCTTCCGGGAATCCATCTACCACATCATGGTGACTCAGCCTGGACCATCCTCAGCGCTTCCCCGAGGTGGAAAGTGATGGGCTTTCCTTTCTGTCTCCCAAGTCTTCCCTGAGTGGGGGCTGGGAAGAGATGGCAGGGCGAGGCTCACTCTACCTGGCTTCTATCAGCTCTCCTGTGGGCCAGAGCTCCACCTGGGGCCCACAAAGGACAGGGATGCTACCTCCCTCACCCCCATCGCAGACCCTACCCTTGGGTCTATACCAGGCCTGTGCAGGCCCTAGCTGGGTGCTGCCTGGTTGTCATGGTGAGGCCAGGAAGGGACCTGGTTGCATGTGGAGACTTTTTTTTTGGTTGGGGAATGAGGTGGGCAGGGCCCACAGCCTTCTCCCTTGCCCACTCTACCTCTCTGAGACCCCGCCACCCTTCTGGTCCTCATGTGTGAAAGGCTTCCCTCCCCACCTTGACTCTTGCTTCCTCCAAGAGCTCCCTAACCCTCTCTTTGCTCCAGAGAACCATAGACATCCCCCAGTCAAGGGCCCTAGCACAGCAGCTCTGGGTCCTCAGCACACTACACCGCCACAGTGCCACCTTTCTTGTCTCTGGCTGTGGGACCACCAGCTCACTCCCCTCCTCAGGTGAGCTTACCCGCTTGCAGTCTCAGTACCCTATGAAGGTGATACAACATATACCCCCACACCCCTGCATCCTTCCTGCATATGTATGTACCTAGGGCTGGGAGCTGGGTCAGCAGTGGTGCTGAGAGGTCTCCCAGAAAATGAATAGCAAGTCAGGGAGTGGAAGAAGGTGGCCCCGGCTACTGCGTTATCTTCTCCGGATAGACAGGGAGGCAGCTCCCTCTGGCTGCTGTGGCCTTGCTGGTCGTGGGATCATAGACATCTTTCTCCCAGCTGCCCCTGCTTCAGCCCCCTAGCTGCCTCCTCTCCCTGCAGAAGCTTTACTCAGTGAAGTAATGTGACCATGAACCCTGGAAGATGAGGGCCTGGGCCTGTAAAATGGCCAATAGCCCTTGGTTGGCCCCATTTTATCAGGGGTGAAGCCGAAACACCTATCTTCAGCTTTCGTGAAAGATCTCCGCCCTCCATGGGGCTGAGGGCTGTGGAGTGTGTCCTTCACCCACGGACAGTCTGCTCAGCTCTTCTCCCTCTAGGCCCACCTTCCGAGGCTGCCTGAGTCTGTTGTTCTCTCCAGAAAGGGGGTCTACTTGGGGATCAGGGTGCTCAGGGACACTGGTGGTATTAAAGGTGCTGATTCTCTGCTGCTTGGAAAACTGAGTGAAAAGCCCAGTCTGAGAGATGGACAGATGGCTGCAGGGTAAGTTGTGGCAGAGGCGCAGGTGTCTGGGGACTTGCGTGAGACTAGACCGTGGGAAGAGGAGTGTTACTGGCTCAAAATTCATGTAGGTAGGCTTCACTGCTCTGTGCTCAAACCTGCCTGGTGAAACTAATTGCCAGGGTCCCTCCTCATTGGTGGGTGGACCTTGATGGCTTTCGCCAGTCTTCCTGGAGTCTAGGTAGGGACAGGAGTGGAGGTGCTTCAGAATCAATGCATCTGAAAGGGGCGAGTCTAAATGTAAAATTGTTACGCATGTAGAACCCTGCATCAACCTGGAACTCACTTACCTAATGTGTATGTAGGGTGGACTTTAACATGAGGGGAAAGATTTATAAAACCAAGATTACCGTTTTATTTTTTTGTTTCTTTGTTTTTAAAGCATTAGATTAATAATGGTTCGCTCTTGGAGAAAGATCTTTCGGAAATTTTCAAATGCATTTTTTTTTTTCTGGGCAAGCTATTAACCAGAAAGAAAAGTGCTTTTCCATGCACATTCACCAAACCCTAGTTCATTTTCTCCTGTTTCACCGTATACTTACCATGCCTCAGGCAAGTCTGGGTTATCTTCAACCAACTGGTCAATTCATAAGTATTTATTTGTTAAAAACTCATTATGTACCCATCCCTGTAAATAGATAAAAGAGCAAAATCCCTATGTGAAAATATGTAAAGGTGGAAATTGCTTACTGATTTTTTAAAACAAAACAAAACAAAACCCTTATTCCTTGGCCAATTAAATATTTTTCCTGCAGTATGCTTGTGGTGTGGTCATTGCTAGAGAGATATTGTCCCCTGCAGGCCAAATGTGGAATTACAGAATTGCCTGCTTGTACTCTTAAGGCACACAGGTTTCTATAGAAGAAAGTACTCCCCACTGTTGCACTTCTTGGTAGTAGCTTCTTAACGATTAACTGAAAAATCTATGTTCCCACCCTAAGGTCCTGGCTGTCCCATGGAACAGGGACTACCAGCTGGATTCTCTTCTGATTTGGGCATGCACCAAAAGGACAGAGCAGACGGCACCTGTGGGAATAGCCTCGGGAAGACTAAGTTTTAAACGTAGTTTTATGGATTGCTAGTTTCAGTATCCCCACCAGAAAATGATGATTTTACCTGCTCTGATGAGGACAGGTTTATGCTTTGGTTTTGCAATCATATAAGGAAGAGCAAGAAATGATAAAGACTGGATTCTCCTATTTGGTTTGTTTCCTCTTGGGATGGATGATCTATCATCATGCTGGGACTGCCCTGGTTTGTGCTGTTCCCCAGCAAAATTATGAATGGCTCCCGCTTTTGCTACTGTGCTCTAGTTTGGATGATATTGCCAGGGTCATCCTGGTTCTAACGTTTTCCCCAATGATATGCTAATGGATGAAGCATGAGATCTGTAACACCTTTGGGTTCTGACTCACCCCACCCCAGCTCCCAGCCCCTGGGAATGATCCACTGCCTGTACTTGTCTCTGGAGGATGTAATTCTTGCCCCCCACCCACTCTATCCCACCTAGCGTCACATGACCTGGGCAGCTGATGGGTGCTCAGGTGCCATCCAAGTGACATTTGGAGCCCACAATAAATCATGACGGTGGAATGGAAACTTGCTCAAGTCCCAGGGTGTGTCAGATTTGGTCTAACCAGAAGGTAGTTATTAAACCCACCAAACAAGGGAGCTGTTCTGGAGCCTTCAGATAAAGGCCAGCAGCCTCTGAGGAAACTTGCGCTTCTGTGATGAGCCAGGACGAAGCTGCTCAGACCCCTAGGCCACGGCAAGGTCTTTGTAAGGGCTCTGCAGTCAGAAATTCGTGCCTTTGACAGTGTGTGTGTGTGTGGGGGGGAGCTACTGACTTCTTATCTCGCCCCACTCCTGCTGAGTGAGGGCAAAAGGCTGCCCTTTGTAAGGCTTTGGGAGACAATGCAGTGGTTGTTCTTGACATTTGGAACCAGAGATCCACTCAGACATCCAAAGCAATTGGAAGAAACTGGTTATTCAAACTGCCAAGTGGGTTTGGATGGGTGCAGTGTAAACGTTCCGGGTTCAGCCCTCACTCTTGGCACATCCCATCTCCCCTTTCCTTTTCTTTACTTGGATTTCCACTCATGGCCACCAACTCCTGAAGCCCAGAAATGAGCTCCTCTCTCCATCCTGCTGGGTTAGAGGTGTTCAGGGGAAGTTTGGGAAGCACTCCAAGCCCAGGAACCCTGGGGGTTGGGGTCAATAAACTAAGTCCTCATGTGGTAAATTCTACCTGCAACTGTCACCAGATGCTTCTGTATGGTTTGGCATTCTGTGTCCATCTGGCTTTGCCTCTGGGTGAGACTGGACGACCAGGCAGGGAAGTTGGGAGGAGTCAGGGCTGTTCAGCCTCAGGGGCTCCGGGAGATTTCCTGGCAGTTGCAGAGCCAGCTGATGGTGCCTTTGGGGTGCATGCGCCCTTTGCACTCTGCCTTGCTTTCCCAGGAGGATCTGACACTTGCCTTGGGGTTGAAGTCTTGCTGTGAACAGACTCTACTGCCCTGTTATCCTATGGCCGATGGGCCTCCAGGGTCACTGACCACAAGGAGAACCTTTCCTCTGGCAAAGCAGTGACCTTGTTGACAATAAGCTGTGGGGTGGGGAGTGGGGGGTGGAGAGGGGGAAGCGGGTGGGGGAATGGGTAGGATGGGTGGCTCTGATGGTGAAAGATCAGACTTCCGCTTTTGAAAAGTCACTATTTCAAATACTTTATATATTTATATATTTCAGATAAGGTAGGAGATAAATCTGTTAAATCTCATGAGGCTGTTCAGAGCCCTTGTGGTTCTGAAGTTCTCTGACCTGGGAGCATGCAGCCCAGGAAGCAACAGAAACATGGCTGCTGCTGCTAGTGCTGATGAAAAAGATACAGTTCTCTGGGAGAATGTTCTGGCCCAGGCTGAACTCAGGTGGGATGGAAAGAGAAAGTTTTTTGAGATGAGAACAGGAAAGACACCCAGTTTATCACCACAAGGTAATTGTGACTGTTACAGTCTCTCAGAAGGTTTCCTGGGAAGAGAAAGATGTCCATTCTCGTGTTCACCTTGGTGTCTGAGGCCATCTGTCAGCGTCACTGCTTTCTGTCTTTATTCAACAAATATTTATAGTGATTTTATTGTATGAAGTCAAGCACCTACCACAGGCTTATCCCTATCACTTATTAACTTTTTTTCATTGCGATAAAATCTACATAATGTAAAAATGACAACTTTAGCCATTTTTAAGTGTGTAGTTGAATAATATAAGGCATGTTCACATTGTTGTGCAACCAATCTTCAGAACCTTTCATCTCGCAAAACTGAAACTCTGCACCCATTAAACACCTTCCCATTTCCCCGTGCCCCAGCACCTGCAACCACCATTCTACTTTTCGTTTCTATGAATTTGACTACTTTAGATACCTCATAAAAATGGAATTGTATAGTACTTGTCTTTTTGTGTGACTGGCTTATTTCACCAAGTACAGGGTTTTCAAGGTTCATCCATATTGTATAGCATGTGTTGGAATTTCCTTCCTTTTAAGGCTAAATAATATCCCATCACTTACTTTAAAAAGAAAAACTGATTGAAATCTTATTTTTCGGACAAACGGTTGGCAAATGATGAGGGCCCTACCTGCCTTAAAGGATAAGAGAGTCCTAGCTGTGTGCTATGCTTCTCTTTTTCCAGATTGCTCTTCCTGACATTTTGGTGTTAAGGAACGCTCTGGTCTTACTTCTTCCTTCTTGCCAGCAGATGGCAGCATGCTCTGAGCCGGGCCGACAAATTCCAGTAGGAAAGTGAGCTGAAGCTCCCAGAGAAGGGCGAGAGCTTTGTGACACTGCCGAGATTCTGCATTATTGGTGTTGAATCTTCCAGTCGTTCTCCCCTTTAAGATATGAAATAAAAGCCTCCACTTCAACCATCATTTATTAAGAGTCTATTACATATCAGTGCTTTCACACTGATTTCTTTTGCTTTTGTTCTCACAACATCCCTCTCCTGGATTTACAGATAAATGAAACCTACAGAGGTTAACGGACTTGCCTCAGATCACACATCTTCTAAGCAGAGGTTCAAGTATTTGAATTCAAGGTCAATGTCCTTTCTAGTATATGTAAGTATGCAAATGCTTACACATTAATATGTAAATTATTTTATGAACCATGTAAATTTTTTTCAAGTTTCCTTCCTTCCTTCCTTCCTTCCTTCCTTCCTTCCTTCCTTCCTTCCTTCCTTCCTTCCTTCCTTCCTTCCTTCTCTCCTTCTTTCCTAACAAATATATTTAGCTCCTCCATGTTGCAGGCCCCAAGAATCTCCACTCAGATCTTTCTATTATGGGCTCTTAAGAGATTGCCTCAGCAGTTTGGTAACTGACACTTTCCCAAGAATGCTTCCTTTCTGGAAGTCTGGCTAGTCCAACATAACAGGGCCTGAGGATCGGAGCTTCTTATCCTAAGGGCTTTGCAAGACAACCAAGCCTTTTCTTGCTGCCTTCAACCACTTCTAGGCTGGCAGTCTCTTGACTTTCCTATTGCTCTGCTTTCCCTATATTCCCAGTTTAGTATCCTCTCAGGGAAAAGGCAGCCAATGGGAAGGCCCCGCACTGGCAATCTAGAGGCCTGGGTGGTCCTGTAGAACCAGTTATTAATCCTGAGAGAGGGACATGCTATCTAACCTCCCCTTCGTAAAATAAGGGTGTGGAAGGAGATGCTCTCAGAACTCTTCTTTAATTCTGGCAATTGCTTGTTTCTGCTGGAGATTGCTTTAGGGGTGGGCATAGGACCCAGGCTAGCCAATGAAATGAGAAGTCTTCTGGGGGCTTCCTGGGACAGGTTTTCTCACTTTTAAAGAGTCATAGAGAAGATACAATTCCTTTACCTCCATTGGACATTTCACGTCTGGATATGACACCTAGAACTAAGGCAGCCAATTTGTGACTATGAAGGCAGCTGGCCTGAGGACCAAGCCAGTGTGCCAAGGGTAAATGAGCAGAAAGATGACAAAAAGCCTTACTGAGTTGTCACTGAGTTAACCAACACTAGATCTGCCCTATTTCAGGACTTCTTGCTATGGGAGCTAATTTATCTTTCCTTATTATTTATACCACTTTGATTTTTTTTTTTTTGTCGTTTTCAAACGAGAGCTGACTAATCAATAGTTACCTTAGCTTTTCAGAGTTGTTGGATGATCTCCGAAGTCTGAAGTCCTTTTCTTAAGAAAGTCAAAGCAGATTGAGAACTAGACTCACTCATTCAACAAATATTTATTGAGAATCTACAATTATATTTTTAAAAATTCTATAACACATCCCCCACCAACTCTGAAATTGAGATGTATTTTAAATTGATGGCATCTTGTGATTGCTGCTGGCTGTGCAGCTGTCTTAATGAGGTTGGCACTGTCTTTGAAGACATCAAAAATGCCAGCATCAAAATGTGCAGAATGCATGTCAATAGTTTGGGGACAAAAATCCCAAAATACTCATGGAACATGCTTTTAATAAATAAGAATAAAATGGTTATGAGGAAGGTGGTAAATCAGATATGTTTGGCAGCACTTGTGATATAGCTAGATTCATGGAATTGTAAAGCTGGCTTAAGAGCCCAGCACATATGCCGCTTAGTTCTTTTATGGATTCTTTTGAGAAAAGCTGCATCATCAGCACTCTTGATGTCTCAGAGGATGGCAGCATGTGAAAAAAAGATGGTCATTGTCACTCTCAGTCAAGGAGAGAGAGGAGTCAGAT